CTCTGCCCAGGGCAGGAGGGCGCATACACCGACCCTGGGCCCAGGGTGATCCTGGCCCGGGTCGGCGTTGGTGTATAGTTGGTGCCGTCCTAAGAAGAGAGAAGGTTCTCACCGCAAAAGGGAGCACAGCGGCATCTGGGGCTCATCGCCCGGCACCGGGGCCCGCAAAAGGACCGCCCGCGGCGCAAAGCCATCGCCCGGGGTGGCGCCGAGAGCTCCGCAGGGCCCGCGCCGCGAACACACAGCGAGCCGTCGGGGGCCGGGCGTGGCTCAAGAAGCTCGCGCCGCGCGGCGGCCCAGCGCCGAGCGCCGCGGCGGCGGCGGGCACCTCCTCCTGATGGGGCGCGGGCCGTCGTGGACCGTTGGGCGGCCATGCGCTGCACCGAGAGGGGCGCAGAGGCCGGACGCGCTCGGGGACGCGCTGCTGGCCGGCGTCAAGCCGCGCGGCCCGCTGCCGTGCAGGGCGCGTAGGGTAGGTGGATGCAGTGCAGGGGGACTGGCTATGTGGAGGCGAGAGAGAGCGAGAGAGAGAGAGAGAGAAAACAAAAAAAGAAAGAGAGAGAAAGAGAGACCCAGCAATCCAGCTGCTTCAATTTTTCGATGCTTGGGCCCCAGAGGTCCGCACCACTTCCAGGGCCGGATTTCGTCCTGAGGCGTCTTCTGACGTTCCCGAAGCCCGGCGAGGGCCCCCAGAGGCCGCAAACGGCCAACAACTGACTGGTCCAATTTTGCTGGAGCGTCTGATCTCCGGGGAGAGAGCGAGAGCGAGAGAGCGAGAGAGGGAGAGAGGGAACCAAACATAAAGAAAAGAGGGGCAGAGACCACGGCCTGCCGCTCGCGCACAGCGCGCGGCGCCCCTGTGCGCCGCGCGCAGTGTGGGCCACCGCCCCTCGCGGGCCGCCGCGCGCAGGTGCTCGCACGGGAGCCGCCGCAGTGTGCGGCGCCTCCTTGACTGCTGCTGCGTGGCGCCTCACTACCATGTCCTTTGGATTTCGAGCGGGGTGCGCACACATAGCTTCAATACATCATCGCTTGCTTCCCCTTTGTGCTCCTCTTCCTCCTTGCTCCTCCTCCCCTCGGTTTTCCGTCTCTTCCTCCTCCTTCCCTCCTCCCGGGCTAGTGTTTGGCAACCAGGCAGCCCGCCGAATCCAGTGCCAGTGTTGTTTTGTTGCCATCATCGCCTTTGGAGGCAAGCTCCAAGGCCCACGCGTGTTTCACTCAGCCGTGTGGTCGCCAGGATGTCCGCTCACCATCTCCTACTCCTTCAAAGTATCCAGCCGAAGGACCTAACAATATGCATGCGTGAGTAACGCAGTCGTGGGAGTCGTCATCGGTTGAGCTCCCCTTGGGGCCACGGAGCGTGTGAGGAGTGTACCGAAATTGGTCGGGTGGACGCATGCGGGCCCTGCCGCTAGGGCTTTCGATGGAGTTCCCTTTGAGGCCACGAAGCGTGTGAGGGGTGTGCCGGCATGGGCGTGCGTGCGCATGTGGACCTTGTCGCTGGGACTTCGGTGGAGCTCCCTACGGGGCCACGAAAAGTGTGGACGGTTTGTCGACATGGGTCGGGCGGACGCATGTGGACCCTGCCACTGGGGCCTTCGGTGGAGCTCCCTGTGGGGCCGCGAAACGTGTGAGTGATGTGCCGAAATCGGTCGGGCGGACGCATGTGGCTTCTGCCGCTGGGGGAGCTCTCTCCGGGGGCGCGACACGTGTAGATGGTTTGCCGACATGGGCTGGGCGGGCGCATGTGGACCCTGCCACTGGGGCATTCGGTGGAGCTCACCTTGGGGCCACGAAGCGCATGAGAGCTGTGCCGACATTGATCGGGCGGACGCATGTGGACCCTGCCATTGGGGCCTTCGGTGGAGCTCCCCATGGGGCACGAAGCGCGTGCCGTGTGTGCCGACATATGTAGGTCGGGCGGACGCATGTGGACCCTGCCATTGGGGCCTTCGGCGGAGCTCCCTGTGGGTCCACTAAGCGTGTGAGGGCTGTACCGACATGGTTGACATGCGGAGTGCAGGGGCAAGGCTGCCATTGGGCGCCTTCCGTCGGCGCGCTCGTACTCCGCCACTTCAGTACGCCAGGCGCTCGCCCAGTTTGTGGTCGCTACCGAGACGCTTGCCAGCGCTCAGGCTGCCGCGGCGGCCGAGACGCAGGTAGGCCGACGTCACGGTCATCGTAGAGGCGCTCCTCGACGCTGACGCTTGCACGTCCAGCGGCGGGTCGAGCCACCCGCCCGACCACTGGTGACTGGGCGTGTTTGGCCCCAAATTTTCGCTCGCAGCTCGTGCCCTGGAGAGTGTTTTTTGTTGCTGTCTTCTGTTTTTCTTCTCCCCTCTGGGAACGCGCGTAATGCCCCCTAGCCTCCACCCCTACCCCCCCATAACGTAACGCTCCCCCCCCTCAGTGCGTTCCCGTCGCTGCCGCAGTGCGTCCGGCACCACAGTCTGGGTGGGGGGCGCTGCGCTATGCCCCCCTCGCGTCGCTCCCCCCCCGCCTCCCCCGCCACTGCGCCCGCTCTGGCCGCGAACGCGAATACATAAAAAATGCGCCCCGACGGGTGCATCCTGGTGGGGCGGCCCGCCCAGGCCGAGGAGGCGCCCCGCCGATGTGCCATCCCTCACCGAGCGCGTTCCACGACTCGCGGAGTGCCCGCCCGCAGAGTGGGACGCGCTCGTCTCATCCCTCCGGCGGGCGCCTCCGTGCGCACACGCGGCTCGGCGCCTGGGCCCTCGTTCTCCCGCGCTGCCCCGCGTCCGCTCGCGTGCCGAGGCTCTCCTCTCTGGCGCCCCTCGCTGCAGTGCGCCGTGGGGCCAGCCCCGTGGCGTGGGGCGCGCGGGGCGACTGCCGCCTGGCATCCGGACGGGCACCCGTCCCAGTCGGTGCTCTCTCCCCGTTGTTTTGTTTTGTTTGTTTTGTGTTTCTCTCTCTCTCTCTCTCCATCTCTTCCTGTGTATATATATATATATTGCTCTCTCTCGTTCTCATCTCTCTCTCTTTTCTCTCTCTCTCTCTGTCTCTCGGGGGTGGGCAGAACTCCCACTCTGACACGTCGATTCGTGAATTGTCCGGTCTCGGTTCTCGAGAGGGTGCCGCGGCCGTCATTTTCCAGGCTTGCACCCGCCAGGTTTGGGCCCGAGGTCGTTTTAACTAAATCACGTTTTACTAAAGGGGGCTCTGTCCATCCCCGAGTCTCGCTCTCTCCCGCTTTCTTCTCCCTTCTATATCACGTGCCTGATGTATAATGTACATGTCTGTGCGTGTGCATATATATAAGAATATATGTATTTATTCATACATATTCATATATACATATGTATGGGTGTACTATATGCTACACGCATGCATTATATTTGTTGTGTGGTGTCCCTCTCGCTCCCTCTCTCTTGCTGTGCTTATTGTTTCTAGTTGCTCATGTATTTCCTTGTGTATGTGTGTGCACATGCCAGTATGCTTTCCGTGAGTAGCTGTATGTAAACATATGCCATGCTGTTTTTCCCCGCAGGCTATTCTCCATTGCCCACTTCTGCATTCAACGAACACGTACGCCATCTTGTTGTGTGCTTTGATTATCGGAGTTCTGTGCGCGGGAGGTGAATTCGACGTATTCCTTCAGCGTCAGAACCAGATCTTGGGAGGACCTGGCCTGTTGCGCCGTCCGTCAGGAGGAAGCAGGAGGAGCACGCTCAGAGGGCCTCGGGTGGAGAACCAGGGCGAATGGCAAAGGCGATGACCAGTGAGTTGTATCCTGTTCCTCCCCTTTTCCGCAACCTTGCTGTCTCCTTAGGTCGCATACCCTCAGACAGTGTTGCAGTGGAGACGGGAGGCATCCTTCTCTCCTCGTCCTCCTCCCCTTCCCATTTCCCTCCCCTCAAGCCCACGCGCGAAGTTGAAGAATGAGCATCCGCCAGGTCGGAAATGTGAGGAGGGACCATTCGCTTCACGGTGGAAGCTTGAATCCCCCATGTCTCGTGTGGGTGGGCAACCATGCACGAGGCGTTCAAGACGGTGCACTCGCCTTGGGCGCTGCCTCGCCGTCGGCAGAAGGCTGGCAGAAGTAAAAAACGGCGGCGTGTCCGCTGGCGAAGGCCGGTGGAACGTCAGCGGAAGGCGGCGGAAGGAAATGTCAGAACTCAGCGCGTTGGGGTTCAAGGTATCTGGAATCGGCCACTGGGTCCCACTCAAACGAAAGTTGCCCCCACAAGCAAAGTCGCTTCTGGCAGCTAGCAAGCATTCTTCCCCAGGGATGGCTGGTCTCGCCCCGCAGGCGGGCGCGGGGTGCGGAAGGCACCCGTGTCGCGATGGCGGGGTGAATCGTGCTCAGCGTTGCACACTGTGGCAGGGCATCAGCTGGATGCGGTGGGTTCGTGTCGTTTCGACGCGGCGGCGACTCCAGCGCGGTGTCAGGGTTTGACGCCGCAACTGGCCTGGAATCGGTCGACATCGAACGATCAGTGGTGTTGGAAGCTGCTATCGAGGTCCACGCGGCGCCAGAAGCCAACGCCGAAGTCGTCACGACACAACCCTGCCGTACGCGAGCTCCTCTCTCCACTCGTCTGAGCGACGGGGTCTTTGAGCCCGATGAGGGGCTCCTGCGGTCAGTATTTCCGGTCCTGCCCCAACCGTTTGCTGGGGGCCTGGGAGGGGGGGGGGTCGTTCGCGAGGGGCGAAGCTCTTCTCTACTGTTGGGATGCTGCGCGCACGGCAGGCGCAACGTGTGCGACCACGGACCACCCCCTCGTTACTATCCGATCCCGCGGGTTGCTCGGGTGCGGGATGTGCCCTCGCATGTGCCTGCGCACAGGCGTGTGGATGCGCATATATATATATATATATATATATATATATATATACGTGTCCGCAGCCAATCGCTCGAGTGGCACGGAGCGTCTCGGGAGAGGTGGAGCTGGGCAGGGCGGAGCATGGGAGCTCATGCAGCCTGTCGTGCGGTGGTCAGGCAGGGGCTGTGCCCCAGCTTGCAGTGATCTGGACATGCGATGGGGCAGCGTGCGGCCCCCGACGAGGGCCGCCGCTGCGCGGAGCCCTGCGGCTGGCAGCCCGGTGTGTGCGCACTGGCGTCTCTGCTGGCACTGCTGGCCCTCTCGGTTTTGTCCACTTGCCTCGACGTGTCCACGACAGAGGAGGTGCACCTCCGCGAGCCGCACCTCGGTGAGCAGCACCCCCGCGAGCCATACCCGCCCGAGCCACGCCCCAGGGAGCCGCCGCTTCAGGAGCCAGGCCTCCGTGGTGCGCCCCTCCGTGAGCCAGAGCTCCGCGAGCCCCCCTCGAAGCGGCCGGCCGGGCAGAAGAGCCGCGTGGCGTATGTTGTGTTCGTCAACGAGAGCGGCAGCCGGGCGTGGCAGGACGCGCTCGAGGTGCTGGTCCTTGGCCTGAGCCAGGCGTGCCAGAGGAGCGCCTACGAGGCAGATGTCCTCGCGCTGGCACCAGAGCGTCTCGGCCCAGACGCGGCCCAGCAGCTTCTGAGGCTTGGCTTCCACGGGGTGGTGAGGAGGCCCATTCCCATCAGCACCGTCGAAGCTGCAGGGCCAGAGGCGGGTGAGCCATCAGGGCAAGGACCCCCCGACGGGGCGATGGGCCTCCCCGAAGAGACCATCAAATACTGGGTGCTTTCGGATGCAACTCCTGGGAGGTGGAATTCTGATTTTGCCCTGGTCCGAAATCAGGATTAATCCGACTTGACCCCGCTTGATCCCGCTTGATCCCGCTTTATCCCGCTTAATCCGGCTGAATCCCGCTTCATCCGCGGCCTAATTTGGCGTAGCAGCCCCCCAATTGGGCCTAATTCTACTTAACCCCTCCGACGAAGACCTCCCAGTAGTTGCCTCCTAAGGTGCTCACACTGGCTAAGTACCATCGCGTCCTTGTGCTGGACGCCGACGCCATCATCTTCGACCCGGCCGACGAGCTCTTCGAGGCGGAGGCCTCCTTCATCACTGCCCCGCGCGCCGGTCCCACTTCCCGCGGCCTGCCGCCGCTTGGAGGCGGCTTCCTGCTGGTCAGGCCCAGTGAGGCGGACTTCCAGGCCGTCAAGGATCGCAGGCGATTTTTCCCTCCCCCAGTCCTCAGGCTTCCCCTGCAACATTCTAGGCCTCGTTGATGGGGTCGGAGCAGATGGGTCAAAGGATCGCGCCGCATCGCCGATGCATCGCAGATGCGGCTCGATGTGGAGCCCGATTTGCTTCACGTCGACGGCGCCAATGTATCGCCCACGTCGACGATGCCGATGCATTGGCGATGTATCGGCGATGCGGCACCATCCTCCGACCCCATCTGCTCCGACCCCATCTAGGAAGCCTCTAGTCCTCAAGCTCCCCCTGCAACACTATCCTGGTGAAGGGCCCAACCATAATCACTTGCGGGTGCCGTGTTGTGGGTCGAGCTTTCGACAGGTCTTCCTATGTGGCCACCAACTCGGGATGTAATGGACGCTCCGCGGCAGGAAGATTACACCCGAAACGAGTGTAATTACAGGGAGCACAGAAAACCTTTCCATGGTTCCTCTCCCGCCGACCGACAGGGAGATTTTCCAGGGTCTCTTCCCAGCAAGGCCAGACGGGACACAGAGCCTTTTCCTCTTCTTCCTCCTCCTCCTCCTCCTCCTCCTCTTCTCTTCTTCCTCCTCCTACTCCGACGACGACGACGACAACGACACGGCCCCCAGATAGATGCGGCAGTGCCACGGTCCTCGTGAGGGGTGTGCCGAAATCAGAAGCAGAAACTCATGCGAGCCCTGCCACTGGGGCCTTCGGTGGAGCTCCTACAGTGCCACAATCCTCGTGAGGGCTTCGCCAAAACACCGTCACGCATGCGAGCCCTGCCACTGGGGCCTTCGGTGGAGCTCATAATCGGGCCACGATCCTCGTGAGGGGTGTACCGAAATGATGGGCATGGTGCTGCCATGCGACCCCTGCCACTGGGGCCTTCGTTGGAGCTCTCTACGGGCCACGATCCTCGTGAGTGCCGAAATGAGCGCGCCGCTGCCATGCGACCCCTGCCACTGGGGCCTTCGGTGGAGCTCCTGATAGAGCCACACTCCTCGTAACAGGTGTCCCGAATGGGCGCGGTGCTGCCATGTGAGCCCTGCCACTGGGGCCTTCGGTGGAGCTCCCTATGGGGCCACGATCCTCGTGAGGGGTACACCGAAATGATGGGCGCGGTGCTGCCATGCGACCCCTGCCACTGTGGCCTTCGTTGGGGCTCCCTATGGCGCCACGATCCTCGTAAGGGGTGTGCCGTATTGACGATGACGATGATGATGATGATGATGATGATGATGATGATGATGATGATGATGATGATGATGATGATGATGATGATGATGATGATGATGATGATGATGATGATGATGATGATGATGATGATGATGATGATGATGATGATGATGATGATGATGATGATGATGATGATGATGATGATGATGATGATGATGATGATGATGATGATGATGGTGATGATGATGATGATGATGATGATGAT